CTGTTTTCAAATATGCACAGAGAAGAACTAGATATATTGAGAAGTCATATTAGTGATGCGCACACGACAACAGATATTTCAGTTCAACCAGGGCTGATTGCAGCATGCAGTTGAAAAGAGCTTTCAATTCGACTTTATGTGGTCAAAAACAAGCTCGAATAGGTAAAAATCGTGGTTTTTCATGATTTTTGCCGGCTTTTCTCCGAAATGAGTCTGTTACACATTTTTTCTGTGAGCGTTTTCAAGATATTTGTGCAAAACCCAGCTGCATTGGAGTTTTCATCTGTTTTACTGCTATTAAATTGATGTGGGCCATCAAAGAGAATGGAGCATCATGGGATTGAGCTTATTATCGGCAGTGCATTTCAACAGAAAAGGTAACTCCATTTCTTTCTGATTATAAAAATGTTTTAGATCCAGAAGAAGTCGTTTATCTCCATGACAGCGCTCCATATCACAAAGCAAATGCTACTCAGCGTTTGCTTAAAGATTTGAATATTGATTTCTTTGATCGAACAGAATGGCCAGGAAGCTCTCTAGACCTTAATGCAGCTGAACATGTTGGATCGATTTTGATGGATAAAGTTGAAAGTCTAATGATCAGTGAAAATGGTTCTGATCGAAATTCTCAAGTCGTTCTGCTCAAGCATCTTCAAAATGTTCTTCATGAACTTGAAAATGAACAAGAACTTGTCAAAAATTTATTGAAATCGTATCTCAAAGATTAAGAGCTGTACGTGAAGCCAATGGTGGTCACACGAAATATTGATGTATTAGGTTTATTCAGATCTAATAAAGGTTTCACTTAATATTTCATTTACAACTGTTTTGCTTTCACTTAATGCTATAGTTGTCTTGTAAAAAGTTATGCATAATCATGTACATCTAAAAATAGAAACAGTCATGATTACTAAATGAATTCCTAACTACATCCCTAGATCCAGTTTTTCACGGGCTTTCATTTGGTATAAAATTCATAGGGTATCGAAGTTGAAAAGATAACGCTACCCCTCTAGCAAAAGGTTATGCACAACCCTGTACAACGACAGTCTCGATCACAACCTGAACACAAAGAACAATCACAATTACAATCTGTACGACGAGCATATCAGTCACAGTGTATACAGCCACAAATAGGACACTCAACACAACCTACACAACGACAAGAAGAACAAAAACAACAAGATAAAAAGAAGAAAAGAAAAATAAATACCGAGGTCCTCGTCAACTCTAACTGTATAGAGCAAAACTTCGTAAGCAATGATTAAATAATGAAACAATTACAAGATTAATTAACGATTACACGACTACAACTACTAATCAAGGTCAAAATAATGAACAATCTATGGGTTCTGATACGGACGTGGAACTTCTTACGCCTAAACATAATCAGGTAAAGTTCAAATCTATATAACTGAGAGGAATTTCTGTCTTCAAATTCATCGATTCATAGTTTTGTCTTATTCTTCATCGGTTTGTTTTTGTTTTGTCCTTGTGTTTCAGATATATACAATTTCATTTCAGAAAAGTGAAAAATGGATGCGTCATCAGTACCACGAATAGTGAAAAAATCCCAAAGAAAAAATGTCATGGCAATCGAAAATTACGACGTTTGAGAAAGAAATATCGTAAACGTGGCATGAATGATGAAGAAATACTTCAATTAATTAATAATCCAAATCAAACAATAAAAACAACAACAACACCACGTCCAATAGCGAACAACAATAATAGCATAACTCCTATTGAAGACATGGAAATAACAACGACAAGAACAACGACAGACATTGCCACCACTCATAAATGTAAACGAATGCCAATCTCATCAAGTACATTGTCATTATCAAAACAACAACCATTACCGAAAAAGACAAAACCAAATATTCTTATGCCCAATAAAAGAAATAATCGATTACCAGCTTATTTAAGATCTCCATCAAGTCTTCTCTTTTCAACATTACGTCGACAATTGAAACATTGATTATCGAAAGAAACTGAACAACATTTTATTTATAAACGACTCCGATTACTTGGTCGACAATATCGTCTTAATCTTCATCAAACTATATGGCAATCCTATTTAACTCTTGGATCTGAACAACAATTATGGCCAATACAAGTAAACAGCAGCAACAATACAAACACAGGCGGTCAAATCAGTCATTGATTATTAATGAGGAAACAACAACTTTTATTCGTCAATTGACACAATTGATCAATAAATTAAATTATTTCGAATTACAAATTGAACAATTGAATTATTACCATCACCTTGGCGTGGCTGAAAGTATTTGGACTGGGTGAGTGTCAAAAAAAATGGCCATAATTCTTTCAATCCGCTATGTATATGGTCGATCACAAACAATAGTCGAACAACGTCAAAAAAAATTCCAACCACAACTTGCACAAATTCAAGATGACATCAATGAACATCTGATAAAAAACCCTCTTTCATCACGGATACCGACCAAATCATTAGCATCCTCACTGATCTTGTCATCAATAAAGATCAATATCCATTACATGTCGAACTTGACAGACGAAGAGGTATGCTAAAATTCGATGCTAAAGATCATCAATATATTGAAACTTTCAATAGTTTAAAACCAAAACAGTCAGAAGTGCGTAGCGATCTATTATTTATCCATATTACAATATAATAAATAAGTGATCTCTTTAGATATCTGCAGCCAAATTGATTTGGAGAGCAACAAATGATGAACAAACACTTCGATATGAGATTGCCATATTCAAAAATTGGTTCAATTCCAAATTAAACAATAAATGTTGTTACACTTTTGAACAATTACAATTGACGAATATTAAAAATATTTTAAAGACATTAATCCCTAATCAAAAGCAGATAGATATTCAATTATCGAAAGATTTCAATCAACAAATACTGATCATCGCAGCACAAAAGGCTGAGATCTATGCTAAAAAAGTGCAACATTACAAAGACAAATTATATCAGCGTACACATCATATTCAACCATGCCATCACAACGTTATCACAGTCATTGAAAATCGACAGCAAAATATGGTCCAACGGGATCAATAGCACACACAAAAAAAAAAATTGAATTGGCTTTCCCATGATTGGAATACAAAAGAAGTTTAGTCAACCGTCCATCCACAGATAAAAAAATACATACCTTTTTATTCTATTATCTATAAAATATTGTCCTATTCCAATTCTTTTTCTCTTAAATAATATTCTAGATTAACAATAACTAAAGCTTATGTCGTGGTAGCTATACTCACCCGTTAAGGTGATGTCTACAAAAACAATTGTAGATTATGAGTATTATTAGTTTGATTTTCGAATCATTTA